CAAATGTTTAAACTCAATTATCTCGAAATGAGATAAATGTAAAAATGGGCCCTTTTAATTGAAGACACCCCATATAATTAATACACACTTGTTGTACCTATATTTTAATGCTAAATCTGGCTACACTGCTCTCCTCAAATCGTGATACCAGTACTCAAATTATTGGCGACAATGGGCTGAAGAATTTGCTTTCGTCATTCGTGGAATTATCGAACGATAATCTAACGTAATTTGTCCCTATACAGAATTGATGTACGACAAGCTGGAAACTTCTTCCCGCTGATCTTTGTACCCACATCCGGGTATAATCAAAAAATGGTTATCGCATCCAAGAGACAAGCCACACGTGATAAACCATCATATGCAAGGTTTAACTTGAGAAGGAATACATTTGTTAGAATCAAGAATCAAGAACAAACACAAATCGTATGGTTTTGCTTGGTAGATTTTCGAACCGCATAGCCTTGCATTAACAATAATCTATCGTTTTGATGGTAGACAAGCCTACCGTGATCATAACGGTAATAGGGAATTAAGTTCAATTTCCGAGAAGGACTATTATTCGTAATAGCTCTAGAGAACCATCATAACATTAATTTCGTTTGGCGCCTTATAAGAAACCAAAACTTGGGTTAGGCATGGTTGCAAGGCTAAAGCTTGAACGACTTGAGGAAATGAATTTTACCATCTAGGGAGCTATCATGCTATTTACTTGGTGTGTGGGCAAGGTCTACCAAGTCAAAAATACCATTTATTAAAAAGACTATGAAAATAGAAGCTCATTGGAGCGTTATTAAAGGATCTTATCTTTATAAGCATAATCGTCCACGACTTGATTTACTTTTTTGGTGATGAAAAGTCAGATTTTATATTTTAAAAATTGGACGGTTTTAGTCATGGCCAAAGCTACCGAATAGTACCGAATGATGTTAATTTCGGTGCCTTATAAGAATATTTAGTTTTTTTTCTACTGATCCTACCATCTAGCGTAGTAAGTTTATAAAGAACCTTAAAATTGTTACAATTTTTTAGATTTATTGATCTTATTTGATTCTTCTGCATAGTGATACAAATGTTTTTTCGAAACTAAAAGTGATCTTTACGGTAATTTTTGTTAGTAAAACGTTGTATTCAAAAAGCACCTCAAAAAATATATAAGATACCCGAACAATTAATTTTGAATTAGCTAGTCATATAAAAGTTTGTTTATAAAATAAAAAATCGCGTACGCATATATATATATATATCATGACCGAAGTTGTTGAGTCGGCCAGGGCGGCCCCCCCAAAGTGCTGTTACACAAGCCCGTATAATATAAAATTACAATCGGACAAGTTATTGATATCAAATATCGATAACATGCCGATTGTAATTTTATATTATACGGGATTGTGTAACAGAACTTTGGGGGGGCCGCCCTGGCCGACTCGAAGTTGACACCTGAGGTTGCGTTGGATTGAAATTAGCCCCTGAAATAAATTATATTATCTTGCACGCAGGTGTAACTTTATTCACGAAATATATATATATGGAGTAGTTTTTTTCATGATTATTACAACGGCAGGTCTTGAACCTGGTACTGCCCGTGGCGAAGTGGCAGGCAAACCATCAAGTTATAAAAGTTTGATTTTTATCAATTTTCTCATTACTGTAGCTTTATTAACAATAACCTTAAAGAAACACCTATTTTTACGTAGTATTTACGATCAAGGTTGGCAATGAAGCTCAATGATGCTCAATGGAGCTGCGAATGGAGCCAATGGAACTCTGAATAGGGTCTATTGCCAGCCAGCTTTTACGATAGATCTTATTCTGTTTTAAAGCTTTTCTGAAAATAAACCACCAAAACGGTAGTAACCTATTTAGCAGACAATCATTAATTTCTAATTTCATTCTATTATAAGTTTATTAATTTTAATTATACTTTAATTATCACGACATTTGCAATCTTAACGAAATGAATAAAGATGAACATAAATTTGAACAGCTTGTTTTTAAAGCTTATTATCAGTCCAGCTTCAAACTTACATCAATATTACGACAATTAATAACACTCCAGCACCCATGGACACCAAAGAACTAGCTAGTTTTATTATAAAATTAAAACCAAAAAATTAGCAAAAATCCGGATCCCATCAGTACTATTCAATTTTAAAAAATGGAATTCTTTGAATAAGACCCAAACAGTAATCAGTTATATTGGATATTAGACCACAGACTAATATTAATTATTACCAACTATATAATAGTGATCCAGTAATTTGATACCTGGGTAGGAATTTTTTTAACGGATACAAATTCTAAGGATGAATTGTTTGTAACATGTGTTAATAACATCTAAAAAAAGAACATTGATTTAATTTTAACTTCTAAGGGTCATGATAATTAGTAGTAAAGGCACTTGCTAATGACCCGGGTTCAAATCATCTTTAAGCAAAATGTAAAGTCAGACTCGTTAATATAACTACTAGTGCATAAAAGAAAAAAACACTTTAAATAATTATTTTTTGTTAAAAGATGCGGTTACATCCCTATATCAATCAATATATAAATAAATTAGGCTTTTTTAAATTTAATATACGCAGTATATTTTTTTTTACTTTCCTCGTTTTATTAAATTAGTTTTTTTCGCAATAATTATCGTTAATAATAAAAGCCTTATATTTAAAAATGCTTAATTCACGTTACCGTGACTTATTAAATACCGATCACCGTCAATTTAAAGACCGAGACTCTGGATATTATCTGCCGAGAATTACGATAATAAGCTTTAAACATAGTTGTTTGAATTTTTTTTGTTCACGTTAATAAATTTATCATGAAAGTGAAGTTAGAGATGTAAGCTGTCAGCTTAAATAGATTGTCAGCGAAATAGATTACTATCACCTTGGTGATTTATAATAGTTGAATACAGGAAAAAAAGGCTCTAAAGCAAGTGCTATATAAAATAAAACGGAGACTGATTACAATCTGATGATCATTCCTTGTTAATTATAAATAAGTCTGTTTTTCGTATCTTCCGATGGTTCAAGTTCCTTATGAAACGCAAAAGAAATTCTGAAAATGAAGAAAAACCTTTAAAACCTTTCTGGGATAATCGTTGTAAAACTATCTCCATCGACTCTTGGTTACTAGATGATCCTGACATCATCGAGGAATGTAATCCAAATTATTCGGAGTCCGAAACACACGCAAGCTCATGGTTCAAGATTATCGAAGAAAGAATTTTGTATGAAAAGGATATCTCATTTTTGAAAGACATTGAACTCGAAAAAAATCAAAGTCAAAAAAAAACGTCAAACGATTCGGTAAAGAAAAAGAAACAGAAGAGACCAAGACCAGAAAGATACGATTTTATCCAACTGAAGAGGAAAGAAAAATCCTTACAGAATGGTCGAATACTTGTAGATTCATCTATAATCGATGTTTGGATTATATCAATGAAGGTGTTTGTGATCTAACCCTTCAATCTCTTAGGAGTTTAATCGTAAAGAATGAGAATTACGAGAACACCGAATTACATTTGGTTCTGGATTTACCGTACGATACTCGTGGGTCTGTTGTTATGGAATTCCTTAAAAATTTCAAGACTTGTATCAAGGTCTTTAAGACTAAAAAGATTAAGTTTGAAATGAAATTCAAATCCAAGAAGAGAATGTTTAAACAAACAATCCCGATTCTTCACAGAGATTTCAATAGATCTGGTGTTTGTTCTTTCCTCAAAGACATCATCACTAGTGAACCGCTTCCAAAGATCGAACATGACTTCGAAATCATGCACAACAAATTGGGAGAATGGTATTTCCTCATCCCGGTTTCTATTGGCAAACGTAAATCGAAAAAAGGAATTGTCGCTCTTGATCCTGGTGTTCGCACATTCATGACAGGATACGACCCTTCGGGTCGAGTTTTTCATTATGGTGTTAACGATATTGATAAAATATCACGACTTTGTGTAAAATACGATAAGTACCAATCTGATAGAGATCGGGCCTTGGGAAGAATTAACAAACGAAAGAGATTCAAACTTCGAAAAAAGATGTATCGAATCGTTCAAAAGATTCATAATCTCGTCGATGAGTGCCATCATAAGCTGGCAAAATATCTCTGTGACAATTATTCGACCATCCTTTTACCAAAATTCGAGAGCCAAGAAATGGTAAACAAGGAAAAAAGAAGATCAACGGAAAAACGGCAAAAAAAATTATTAACTTGGTCCCATTATCGATTCCAACAATTTCTCATCCACAAGTCTCGGGAATATTCGAATAATAGGGTGATCATCTGTACCGAAGAATATACTTCAAAAACCTGCACTCGATGTGGGATAATCAATGATAAATTGGGAGGTTCTCGAGTTTTCAATTGTAAACATTGTGATTTGAAACTTAACAGGGATGTGAATGGAGCCAGAAATATTTTTCTTAAAAATGTGATGGAACATTTATTGTTTTAATATTTGGGACTTGAACCTACATAGGATCCGATATGTTATTCATCGTTTACTAACTTTGTTTATTCGTGTTGGATTCAATTTCAAGGGAGACTGATTACTGTAAATTTAAAAGGCACCCTTAATAGTACAGCTACCCCAGTAAAACCATGAAAGATCGTTGCAAAAGATTTTGACTATGAAACCACCTTTTGCGTTCTAACAAAAAAAAAATTTCTAAAAATTCCTTGTAAAATTTTGGTATAGGTATATCCTAACTCTAACGTGAGGCTTTAGTACTTTAAAATATTACGCATATTAATAGAGATTTGATTGTCGATCTTTCATGTCTACTTATTTGTTAATGCTGAACGATAATTTTTTTATAGCGTAATTCTTCATCGTTATAGTCTGATTGGTCAATTCCATAACTACTTTGTCCGTGACGCGTCTTACGCGTAAATAAGTTAATACGTACTATTACGTACTATGTCGCAAATATCACTAAGAAAATAGGAATAATTTTCGCGAATAAAGTACGCTCAGACAACGAAAAATACTAAGTATTGAGTATCAGCAGAAGCGATTCATTGGTAACCTACAGACTAATGAAAAATCTCCTGACATTAATTATCAACCATTATGTTGGTATATGTATGTATAAATATATATATATATACAATTGAACCTCTCAAAACCAATCCTGCCAAAATCGATAACCTGTCAAATCTGATAAAAAATTAATCCACCAAGTCGATCCTGCCAAAATCGATAACCTGTCAAATCTGATACACCAAGTCTGTTTCTGTTATATAATTCTAATAGTATATAATTTTTTCAAATCCGATAACCTCTCAATACTGATACAAAACCTGTCCACTATGCGTATCAGTTTAGGGAGGTACGACTGTATATATATATATATATATATTGAAAATTTCCTTAGCTATCGCAGATTTAATAAATGTAAATCCTTATAAACAGACTTTATTTATTATACACAAAACACTATACTAGTATTATGTACATGGTACAAAATAAAGCCCATGTAACTTTTCAAATACAACTAATAATCGCACTAGTAAATTTTTTTTTTGTTTTTTTTTTTTAATCACCAGCCTATCCCACACTCTTAATTCTACAAATGGTACTTTTCATAAACATTCCTTTGTGAATATATATGTAATTTTGATTCTAAATGTATAAAAAATGTGTAGAAAAGAGATTTAAATTAATATAAGCACATGAGAATATTTTATTAAAGACCAACATACCAACTGACACCTGCCAAAGGATTTAAGCTATCAATTCATTTATTTTTATATGCATTAATTTTTCTTGCGACGTTTATGTTCCGTTTCATTGTCCGGAGGATCAGGTAATGGAGGTGGCCGTTGTTGTGTTGTCGTAGGATTGGCAATAATTGGATTTTCAGGTTTACTGTAGGAAGTAGGAGATGAAGATGTGGCACTTTGCGATTTTGGTATTGTAGATGAATTATTATCTTTAAATCTGTTGGTTTCGGATGGATTTAATAGATTGCTATCAGATCCAAAACTTAAAGAAGTAGTAGGTTGCGACGCCCGTCGACTTGGTGTACTCGCAGATTGCATATGCGGTGGATGTGTTGATGAACGACCAGAATGTGAAAATTTCTGTGTGGTTTGTGAAGAATTAGAGCTTGCAGATTGCATAGATGATGATTTGTAAGAAGCGTCCATAGATGAAGATCTTGATTCATCACTAGGGCACGCATTCGATATCGGCTCGGGAGAACGATGCCGAAGATAATTATTACTAGGTTGAAATTTATGATGTGTAAATGGTGGTAATTCCGGTAACATGGATAAGGGACTAGATGACGGAATTTTAGTGGGCGATCTATGAAGAGATTGCGAGCCCAAGAATGATGATGAGCGGTAATCAACATCAGACATCTGTGAAGAATGATGTGAAGAGGAAGTAGACTCAACTCCAACCATAGGTTGTGGAGTTGACATTGAACGAGTTGGGTGCATTCCTTCTCTATAGTAATGGGGAGAAAATTGCATCATAGGAGGATGAGGGGAGGGTGGTATATCACCTTGCCCAAATTTGGCTATTTCTGCTTGTATACAATCCACTTTATAAAATCAATGATATAATTTTAACATCCGATTTTATATAAGGCACACTAAAATATTAACTATTTGGAAATGGTTATATATATATATACTATACCATCAAATTTTCGTTTCAAATTTCTTGGATCATTAGATTCTTCTAAAAAAGAAATTAATATACAGATTTAGCAACTAATTTTTAAGGCGAATAGAAATGAATTCATGTTAAAATCATACCTTCACGTAATATTGATGAAAGAAAATTTGCAATATCAGTAATTACCTGGAATATTATGTAAAAAAAAATATATATATATTAAATAAATTAAGAACCATAAGGATAATAATGAATAAAACGTAGTAAGTAATACAAATACCTTTTCGTGCTTCGATTGTTGCATTCGACATGAAACGGTTTCAGCATAAAGCAAACTATAATTTTCGTTCATTTGACGCATTCTCTCCGCTATCTCTGCCATCTGATTTGTTAAGTATTCAATCTTTTCATCTCGAACATTAGCGGCATTAATATCTGATGATGGATTTTGTCCAGCACCAGTACTAGATAAACTTTTATTATTAATATTGGATGGTTGATGTTTTGAGCTTTTACGCTTAATCTTTTGTAAAGCATCGAGATGCCCACGACGAAATTCAGGGTGTTTAAATTCCCAGGCCTGACTCTCACTTGTCGGATTTGCGTGAAACATATCATTTACTTTAATGAGAAAATGAAGATCAAATTATATTATTTAAAAAGTTAAAAAATTAACAATTATAAGAATGGGAAGGATACCTTTATGAAAGCCATACACTAATGAATTCAAATATTTAATGAACATAACTTAGTAATATTAAAGTGATATATAAAAATCTTAAAAAAATGTTAAGCTTACTGTTTAATTGTCTCACAAAACTCTGCCAGTTGTTATGTTTAAAATATTGTGGCAAG